GCCCATCAGGCTAGCGAACTAGGGTTCTGTGGCGATTAGGCATTGTACTGCAGGACAACACATGACTCCACCACCTGGACCAGGTGGGATCGAATAGCTTACCTGTGTACCTAGCAGCACTCTGATCCATTAGAAGCAGGTGCAGATGGTATTGGGGCTAAGTTAATCCTGAAGGTGGCAGTAAGATGCCTTTTCACACCTATATCAGCAAGATGGCTGTGGGTAGAAAATAAAAATGCTGAAACTTGACTTACCGGCAGCTCTGCATGACATACTGGCATCAGCTGATAGTGAATGCTGAGTTATAGCCTCATGCAGGACACTAAAGGACAGCAGTGAAGAAAATCAACCCAAAGACAGAGAGAGCTTCAAGAATGTCACATTGTGTCCTCTATCTGAACAGAGAGCTTGTGTCTGGATCCTGGTGCAGAGAACTCGGAAGACTAAAACTGGAAGATGCAGGAGAGGCGGTTCAGGATGGTCTGTTACATAAAACAGGACTTCCTGACATAGGCCCAGTGTCCCATGTGAAAGTACATCAAAGGCTTCCACTGAAGGGGACCAGACAGCCCACTCTTCACCATGACAAAGCGTTAGGCTGCCAGACCATGGCCCATGTGTGCCCATCAGCTCACTCCAGATGCCACGCTGAGCACTTGAAGGCAGGTGTTCTGGCCAGAATGAGTGCCAGGGAAGACAAGAGCCACTACCAGCCTGGGCAGGAAGCCATGGCTCTCAGGGCTACAGTGCTGAGGGGCATGGGGTGCAAGGCACCACCTCTGCTTGCAACTCAATATACCTGCTTCCTCATCTGCCACAAGAGCTGCCTATTTGCCCTGAAAGGTTATTATTCATTTGGAGTCCCCAGGTCCTCTCTACAACGTGGGAGTCACGGAAAGAAGCTAGTTTTTGTTCTTTTTCCTCTGGTGGTAGTGGGACCATTCAGGTGGATGGCAGCACAGGACAGTAGCTCTGGCTCAAAAGATTTTTTCAACCTCATCTTGGATGTTGCTTGAGGATCTGCATCTGAATAGCCGTCATGGACCTATATGATCATTTCTTCAACCTTACAAACTTGAATCACAAATATTCCTGGTACCCACAAGGTTTGGTCAATTGCTTGCCATAACACACTGATTTTGTAATAATACTTTAGTCAATGAGACATCCCCTGCCAGCATCATTCTGGTGGATGATCCAAGGATGCTGGAGATACCAGGGCAGTGGTGGGTCACTGAGGCCACAGATGGAGAGAGCCACCAGAAGAAATGGGGTCTCTTCTTCACCTTCTGAGTCTTGGATATATCAGATCCTGGCCAGTAAAGCCCAGGATTGAGAAGCAGGTCCTTGGACAATAGTTAGTTTGTGGCTCAGGTATCGGGTGATACCTGCTCCAGGCTAGAGTCCTAAAGCCCCAGATCAGAGATCAGCAAACTTTCTGTAAAGTCAAATAAATATTTTAGACTTTGCAAGTCATATGGTCTCTGTTGCAACTACTCATTTTTGCCATTGTGGTATAAAAGGAGTCAGTGAATGGGCATGACCATGTTCCAATAAAACTTTATTTACAAAACCAGGAAGCAGGCCACATTTGGCACATGGACTGTAATTTGTCAATCACTGTCCTTGAGGATACTCAGATGACCTGCCTGAGGGGGTGTGAGCCAGTCTGATTCTCTGTGAAATGAAACCACTCTAAGGTCTGGTGCTGTGCTAAGGCTGTACATGGGGGAAGAACAGGGCACTGTGTTTGGGAGTTTTTGACCCAGTGATATGTGCAGAGGCCAGAACGTGAAGGCCATACTGGAGAAAGATGAGCCTTCCTCATAAGAAGCACTGATTGCTTTATTCCAGGTAGGACTCAATCCACCTGTCCCACACACATGGTCCCTGGGTGGGCACTGTTCTTACTGGTTCCCTAGGAGCCCCTGTGCTGTGGCCTGACCACCAGTCCCTCTCTGGTGATGGCCCAGTTGTAGCTCTTTGGGGAGTCCAACGCTGCTTCCACTCGCGCCTCGAGGTTCTCTCGGGTGATGAAGTTTTTCGCCTCCTCCTATTGGGAGAGAAAAAGCCAGTTAATGGGAGCCCCGGGACAGGCTAGCCAGCCCGCACTGCAGTCTGCTGGCCTCTCCCCCACTGAGCCAGCGGCTCCAGCTGTCCCTGGGGAAAGATGCCTGGAGCCCAGGTCTGTTTTGAACACCCCTTCCAGTGGAATAACATCAGACCACCTGGCCATATTCTTCTTTCTCAATCACTTGCCCCATACCTCAGCCACAACTCCAAGCGCCAGCTATGAAAATCTCATGTCCTGCTGGGTGGAATCAGTCCGTCAGTGTTTCCTGGTCCCCTCTGAATCTCTGCAACTCATCCTTCCGCCTCTATTACTTTATGTTTTTATTTCCATAGTTAAGGAGTACAAGTGCCGTTCTGTTACACAGATATATTGCCTGGTACTAAGTCTGGGCATTTAGTGTTGCTATCTCCCGAAAAGTGTATATTGTACACTATCCTCTCTATCACTTAATTCAAGCCTCCTCCGTTCTCTCTGGCTTAGTCCTAACTGGCAAACTTAAGTCTCATACCTGCCAATCTCAGCTTAGAATACTTATGGCTTCATGACTTTATCACCTGGAAGGCAAAATACAACCTCTTTGTGGAACGCAGGTCTCTCCCACAGGCACGGCTTACCACCTACTAGGCACTTGAATACTTGCCAGTTTCTATGCTCACCCTGGGTCTTTGCTGACAGGCACGCTCCTTCTCTCCCAAGTGCTCACGGGCCAGCTTTCTCTAAGTCTCTGCAAGAGGCCAGCGCCCCCCTGCGCGGTGCCCAGAAGTCCCACTGCCGCCAAGCCGAGCCCCGGCTCGAGCCCGCCCCTGCTTTGGAGACGCTGCCCACCTGCAGCTGCAGCACTTCTCGCTCCTTGAGCTGCGCCCAGGCCTGCGCCTCTTGGGCCTTGCGGGCCTGCTCCTCGGCCTGCCGCTGCTCCTGCTCCCGCGCCTCCTGCAGCAGCCGCGCTATCCTGCGAGGAGCAAGGGGCCGAGCCTGAGCGGGGGCCGGGCTTTCCGCAGCGACGCCAGGCAGCCCTGCCCCGCCTCCCGCCCCACGCACCGCAGCTCGTGCAGCCGCCGGTTCTCCGCCTGGTTCCAGGTCATCAGGTCCTGGTGCTCGGTGGCGTCCTCCAGGGCCTTGCGCTCCGCCAGGACCCCGGCTCGGGCCTCGTGAGCCTTCCTCCGTACCTCGGACACGAACTCGAGCCTGAGTGGAAGCGCTGAGTCGGCACCCCCTCCGCCCACCCCCACGGTCCCCCGAGAGCGCGGACGGCCACCTCCCCCCGGTAGCACACCTGAGGGCGCGCACGGTCTGGCGGTACTGCTGGTACCGCTCGGTCAGCACGAAGAACTCCACGGGGTCCACCG